GGGGGGAGTGAGTGAGTGGCTGTGTGGTGCTTAGTTGCCGGCTGGGGTTAAACTACGACATCATCCTAGAAGAGATGTTAGTATTTCAAACTCTTTTCCCAGACTTGCCATCTACAGTCTTCATCATCAAAGACACTGGTGCAATTATCTCCTGCACAGTTCTGGAAAATCGAACTTGCTTGCTTTTGGGAAGGGATACTTTGATAAGGAGTTTCCCTCTTTGCAGTTTTGTAAATGCACGTAAATTGAAACATGAATTTATGAATACTAGCATGGCAGTTTATATGTTTACTATGAATATTTCAAAGGCCTGGTAACATTCCTATTTGTCCAACTGAAAGTGCACTAAAATGCATTGGAATTACTGCTGTATAATAATGGTTCACTTTGAGTAATAAATCTACACCAACAGAGGAGTGTAGTGATTTGGGGCATTCCTTAATGCATGTTTGGCAAGAAATGCCATATCTTAATAGAATACGTAATACTTGGGATGTTTGCAAATGAACACGAGTGGGTAATTTACATAACGAGATAGACCAATCCATCACACAGCGAGCAAAAGCAAATCTGAACTAAAAGGTTACAAAGACTCTGCCTTATATATATTCCAGGACCAAGTGTGGTTCACAGGTCTTTTAACTGGTGGAATCATTAGCAACCGCGTATGAAAGACCTGAAGAACTGCTGGGGGAAGAACGAAACTTGTCTCAACAGTTACAAAAGACCATTGCATATCTTCAGTGTACATAAATTTCTTTTCACAGCACCACACCTCAATGTGAATTATTACTCCCCATTTTTAGTGCTGAAGATCTCTAAGAAGTTGCGACCCCATTGCTTTACACCAGTTCCTCCTGCTGTCCTGCAGCCAACATCCTTCTAAAACCTCCAAGCAATCAGATAGGAGCCTCAATTAAAAAAGCTTGTTTTTGTTAACTGTATGCCAATTCCCAGTCGCAGCTAATAACACAAGCCACAGAAGAGATAGCCCTGAGACAAATTAGCTTACCACTTCAGGATTACCTTTAGCATCAGAAACAAAGCAAAGCAACGGTGTGCAAATATATGCCCATATATATGCCTATAGCTCCAAAAATAAAAGTTATGTTTTACAGAGTACAGCTTGTGGAATTACCTTATTCAAACATGTCTATGTAATCTACACTAATTTAGTGGATAATAAGCTTTGTTTTTCCTAGGTAGTAACTGAAAGTTATTTTGAATATCCACATTACCTATTCTGTGGCAAACACAACATTTAGGATGAGACTACACCAGTGATGTATTACCAGAAAGTCTAATATTAACCTACTCAAGTTAAATGTATGTCAGATATTTATCAAGCATTGTACCATATATAAGGTAAGAACAGCAAACAGAACAGAAAACGTTACTGTTCCCATATCTTAAATATTGTGCCATTCCCTACCTTAAAAGAAGGCAAGAGTAGAAATACAGAAGGGTACAAAGAACAAAAATGGTGTTGATTCGAGATACTGAATGGTTGGATACAGGGAGCAATTAAATAGATTAAGTTTTTGTAGCTTGGAAGATGCAAGATTGGGGTAACGTGGAACAGAAGATAAAGTCAGGAATAGAGAATGACTGCTCACCATTTCTCCTGACATAAGGCCTAAGTTGAACCAAAATGAAGTATTAGGTAACAGGTTTAAAAGAAGTAAAACGATATCTTAACTCACAGTGATAGTATGGCTTTGTATGTTGAAAATTTAGTGGAAAATCCCTTAGGCACATTCAGGGAGGAAGGTCCAACTGAATCTGTTAAGCACCAGGATGCAGATACAATTTCCAGCAGAGAAAGCCCTGCATGCAAATTGCAGGAAACCGGCTGCACACTTTTTATTTATCCTGTTTTTGCACTCTTTCCCTAAGCATTTGCTAGTGATATGATACTCAGTCCTGCAGTTTGATCCTGCACAGCATCTGCTTTGCAGCTGTCCTGTGAGCAGAAGAGCCTCTCCCTGGCCGCAAGTGATGGGAGGAGTACCACTGCTGACTGCAAACGGCTGAAAACGAGTGCAGTATACGCTGCTTCTCTCTCCAGTCCACCCAGTGACCTTACAAACTCTTCCCAGCCATGGGGAAAACCTCCCCATCTTGCTGCCTATTATTAGAAATGGATGGGGCATGCGAGGGCAGGAGTGGGGTCTCGTTTGGAAGGGGAGAGCAATGTGAGAGAACTTTTATAAAGCACTTAAACAAGCACTATTCTGGAAGGGTTAGCACCAAAAATGTACAAGATTGATTGTGATGAAACTTCTTGCAACACAAGGTGTCACGCAAGAAACATCTAAATTGTTTGATTATGAGCCAAACTGAATAATATACAGGTAGGAACTGGGGAGATGAGAACAAAGGAACAGGAAAGATGAAAAGCATGTATCTGTTCTTTTAAAGTCATTTTAAAACAGTACTAAGGTTTAAGTTAGAAAAAGCAAGTATTAGCTAGATACGGTTGGGAATACTGTTCTTTAGTAATGTAATTAGGGATGGCAAAGGAACACATCTGAGTTTTAGAAATTAAGTTTCATTTTGATGTAAAACAAAACCAAGGCTTTTAAAATTCTGAGACGCACAAGCGTGTGCTCACGATGGAGGGAACAACGCTGCCAAGAGTGCAGAATACATAGTAATTACAGGTATCATCTGGGAAATGGGAACATTTCAGCATTCTAAAACAGATACCGCATTTCCACATCCCAGTGTAATGATTGACTTGCTAATGCTTCCCTCTCTTTGTCCTAAGAAAAATCCCAATGAAACTCATCAAAATCAGTCCATATATTCTTGTAAAACATTTTTGTTTGCAAGTGACATGACAATAACTAATTAGCAACTGGCAATTAGCAATGTGGAACTATTATAGTTCAACTGAAGGAAAAGAAACAGTAAGTCATAAAAGACAAATGATTTTCCAGCAATTGTATGAGTCTTTCATAATAAATTTAATAATACTGGGAAAACAATCTGTACTTTTTACTGCAGTGTCTTCCCTGTCAAGGATCACTTGAAGAATTACAGAGTTCCAAAAGTGGAACCTAAAGAAGGAGAGAAAAAAAAAAACACCACAACCCCCAAACATTTTCCTTCTGATAATTAAACCAAAGTCAAAATTAATCAAAAGATGATAAAAGATGATAGGAAAAACTAAACTTCTTTGACAAGTTAAGTACCAGAATATGGTAAATATCACCAAAGTAGCACTATTTCCCATTATTTTTCCTGAAGCTGTATTGACAACTTGAAGTTCTCTAAATCAAGACTTAAATCATACATAAGTTAAATAATTTAAATAGCCACGTCCCCCACCCCCCTGGCTTATTAATCGTACCTTAATTTGTGCAAAAGGTCTGTCAAAGTTTCCAACATAAAGAAGACCAACATTCTGGGTGAGTAGCCTAAAAAAATGAAAAAAATCTTTTAAGATATCACTTTACATCCATAAGTTTTTTTGCATCTCCAATAGTTGTTACTGAACCCTAGCAGTGTAACAAGCTTCATTATGACAGCAAGAGCTACCTTTGCAAAGCTGATTACACAATTCTATTTGAACTACTACAAAAAAGGAAAGACGCACATTAAAGATGGATGCACACCGGTAGGTTGTGTTTACGGTGCAAGCAGCTCTTCAACAAAATCATTTCACAGGCTTCTTTGTGATGGATGTCACTCAATAACAGGGAAGAACGGCAGGTATGTGCCTTTTCTATTTATTAGAGACCATTAGAGACAAAGGGACAGCAAGAGAAAAGACTAGTAAACACAAATTCAGAGCAGCAGGCCTAAGAGTTAGAACAGATTAGGACAAATAAAGGTAGACACAGTAATACAAAAATGACATCACTACAAGTAGAGAAATAATAGAGAACCTTTGCAATATTGTCTAATGGCTTCCTAAATAAAAAGAGCCCCAGATGTAGTTTGTGCCTGCTGTTCTCTTCAACTCTTTATAAAGTTGTTGCGTACACCACCAAGATCCAGAGGGACAGTGGGATAAGTTGACTCAAATGACTGTTGGTACTTCTGGAAAAGAGTTAGTTTGATTTCTGCAGATACCGTGCAAGTCAATGTTATTACTACACAAACTCCAAATCCTGGAGAAGCATTAGGGTGCCACTGCTATCAACAAGCAGACAAGAACATCACTGGCCAGTGAAAAGGTTAGGAGAGCACTGTGCTGTTCAAACTGGACAACCACGATGTTCCTCTTTGCTACGCAAAGGCACAGTGGTCATCCCCTCCACTTCAGAGGCTCCAAAAGCATTGCACTTAAGTACAGACACCCCACAAGGAGAACTCTTCGACGACAGACCATTGAAAGAGTTTCTGTTTTGACTAAAAAGGACAATCAAAATCCATTATACTCTTCAGTAGCTCCAAGCTTTCATAAAGTGTTTGCTATTTTGTATTTCCCTTCAATTTTATATCCCATTCCCGTTAGCAATAAGGCCTCACATATGCATTGAATTTCCCCCCTAACTAGAAATAACCAGAAAATAAGAAAGAATGTAGGCATCATTCTGCTCAAGTCTGACACTGAGATGTCTCTTTCTTTATATACTTTATATACTTTTAATTCAGTGAGTTACATTTTTTTTCTAGATATAAACTGGTTGTCATTTTCTAACTAATATCTCACCATCTCCAGGCCTATTTTCATAAACAAAAGAAAACAGAAGCTTAGACAGTAGTAAATCATTGTTTTGACCTTCAGTTCACACAATGTACACACCTTAGTGTGATTTTGATTCTTTCCAGTTCTGACAACAATATGATATATATGACCTTAAACTGGTTCACCAACAGTGGGAATTGGTGGAACTCGGCAAAATGGCAAAGTCGAAACATTCACATATATAAAACAAAAGTAAGAAGTGGTGTTGAACTGTGTATCATCTTCAAAAATCCTTTTGTAATTAGATACTGCATACAAAAATTTCCTGGGCATTGACAGAAATACCCAAAGGAAGGAAAGCAGTAAGGATCAGAGCAGATCAGTCACAGTACGGACAGGCAAGTGGCTTCCTCCCTTTGCCCATCAGTGTGCCTGACTGTCGGGAAGACCGGTACTGTTTTGCAATGGTTCTGCAGCACTGACATATGGAAGCCAGGATGAGCATGTCAAACTCATTTTCAGTCACAATAAATCAAATTCATTCAGAATGCAGGTCTTCAGAGCTGAAAAAGCCAGCATATTGATCAAATCTTCTTATAGGACTGTAAAGCAAACTCAGAAAATATTTAAGGGTTTTCTAAATGAAAAGAAACATATGGGAATTAATTAGAGGAAAAGGTTAAAAGAGAATCTGTAAAAAGGATTCAAGGTACGTCACGATACTTGAGAGAGGGGCACCTTAAAGCAAAAAAAGTATTCTTAAAAAGAACTGTACACAATTTTTGTAAGGCAGAAAAGAAAAAAAAAACCAAAACACTAGCTGTATTTCTAGTAAGGGACCTAAAAAAAGAGAAGACATACAGTGTGATTATTCCCACGTGGTTATTCTTCTTCACATTGTTTTCGTTACTGGATAGAAATGTAGAACCATTAAAAATCTGAGTCTTTAGGATGGCTTTAGCTGGAAGTAATGAACATCTAGGGAACCTGAAGATGAATCTTTCCAGAAGACCACACAGCAATTTACACTGTTTAACTTGATATCACTGATGTGCACCCAAAACCTGCAAACGTACTGCAAGAATTGCCTTCCTTAATAAGACTGATACTGACACAAAAGTACAAGCTTATTACTATATATTCACCTATGACTGCCTTGGCTGAAAAGTATTTTACTTATCATTTTTTATTTGTATTCACAAGTCACTTCAAAAAGGCAATGTTAATTCAATGCAATGTTAGGAAAATTTTTAGGGAATGGCAAGTTATTTGTAACTCTCCCTTGCTAAATAAAAGGTCACATTCTTTGTTTCTTTAGCTTTCAAGATTCAAGTTCTGAAGTTCAAAATTGTATCACCAACACACAAAGCCAGTCAGTTTTCCATATAAGCACTCAATGAGGTTGAAATGAGCATCCCAATACGATCGTAATTTAATGCCCTGAAATACTTGTTTTTTCTCCCCCTAAGTGGTCTAAGCAATTAAAAAAAATCCAAATCTCATAACTAGTATAAACTCTTTTACTTCAGAGTCTTTCTTGAGCTCTCTTTGAGAGCAGCCCTGCAGAGAAGGACTTGGGTGTATTGGTGGATGAAAAACTGAACATGACCCGGCAATGCGTGCTAGCAGCCCAGAAAGCCAACCATATCCTGGGCTGCATCGAAAGAAGCGTGGCCAGCAGGTCAAGGGAGGTGATTCTGCCCCTCTACTCTGCTCTGGTGAGACCCCACCTGGAGTACTGCGTCCAGTTCTGGGGCCCCCAGCATAAGAAAGACACGGACCTGCTTGAGCAGGTCCAGAGGAGGGCCATTAGCAGCCTTCCAGTACTTAAAGGGGGCCTACAGGAAAGATGGGGAGGGACTCTTTAACAGGGAGTGTAGTGATAGGACGAGGGGTAACAGTTTTAAACTGAAAGAGGATAGATTTAATTAGATATTAAGAAGAAATTCTTTACTGTGAGGGTAGTGAGACACTGGACAGGTTGCCCAGAGAAGTTGTGGATGCCCCATCCCTGGAAGTGTTCGAGGCCAGGTTGGATGGGGCTTTGAGCAACCTGGTCTAGTGGAAGGTGTCCCTGCCCATGGCAGGGGGGTTGGAACTAGATGATCTTTAAGGTCCCTCCCAACCCAAACCATTCTATGATTCTATGATATCAGCATTAATCTCCGTATTTCAGAGACTGAGCTCATGCAGAAGAGTCTGGAGACATAACCAGACTGGGCAAGAGTCACTGCTGAGGCTCCGGATAGGCCAAGCTACTGCAAGAGTGTTACTGCTCCCTCAGTAGTCACCAGTGGTAGTATCAAAAAAATGATGTGCCATCGAGGAGAGAGGTGAGATACAGGAGTACATGCCAATCTCCATCTCACTCATAGGAACTAAGCATGACTGATCTCTAAATTACTATTAAGAGGCACTCCTCACCTATCAGAAAGTTCAAATTATATGTAGTCATTATTATAGTTCTTCTTTACCACAACACCAGGCTGCATTTTTTAAGTACCTAAAATTAACTTTATACCATAAACTTCAACGTGGCTAAATTGATACAGATATTCTCTCCTAATGCTCTCAACTAATTACCCCTTGCCTTTGAAGACTTTCCAATGGTAGGCAGGTTTGGTTGTAAGCACTTATGTGTTTCCTTATTCCAATGCCCTCTTACAAAATGTCAGTCTTCTGTTTCTTACCTAATTTCACATTTGCACAGTTCTATTCTCAAAACACTGTCAGCGGTACTCAACACCTAACCATGCTAACAGCTGGACAGCACTTGTAATTGGCCAAAATCAACACCAGCCTATGAAACAGTGGTGACAGTTTCACAGCGCAATTATCATCTTTGAATTTCACATTCAAATAATTACCTTAAAATTATGAGAAACAATTGTCAAAAATGCAAATGCCTACTGGCACTTCAGTATATATATTTACTTTTACTGGAAAATATGTAGCAATATACAAAGTTGCCTCAACTGATTACAACTGATTAGCTTACAGATTGACATGTATTTTATTTGTAGTCTCTTCCATTCAATACATTATCACCACAATTCCCATTTTTTTTCTGGGAAAAAAGGAAAAAAGAAGGAAAAAAACCACTCCAAGAAGCTGTGGTTCTTTAAGACATTATCACCACAATTCCCATTTTTTTTCTGTAAGCAGAAGGAAAAAAACCACTCCAAGAAGCTATGGTTCTTTAAGATGTGCTGTCCATAACATAACATTACACTCGCCCTACTCCTGTCCATATATCCAAGTGGATATATGCCTATTTGGGCTGTATCGTTACGTTCCATGCAAACAGCATAAAAACCCCAAAAAGTATCAGGACGAACTACTTCTGAGTTTCGCCAGTACAATGTCAAGGTCTTAAAGGCCTTTCCAGTACTGAGAAAATGCTGCCATATAGTTACCACCAAATGCCCTATTTTCTGCCTTCAGAATCCTAGATTTGGCCTTTTCTGGGATGCAAAACATACCTGTGTTTTCAAAATCCAAGCTGCAGGAGCCAGGCACCACATGCCTCTGGGGGAAGCTGACTGTGGGAGCGGGCATGGTCAGGCACAGCAATCCAAGAAAAAGTAGCGGGAAGAGCGATGTGAGGGGGGTAAATGCAAATAAATATAGGGCAGGATTAAGGGCTTGGGTGAAAGGAAACTTGGAATAAGGCAGAGTGAGACAGCAGGGAATGTGGAACACAGGAGGGATGAGAGGTATAAAGGAGCGACAAAGCAGCCCTCAGGGTTGGAAAGCATTGGAGCGGAGCTCTGGGCTGGAGAA